TCGAAATCATCTTTGGTGATTGACTTATTTAGATATTTCTTGTACTCAGGGTGGAGGTATTGTTCTTCCCATTCCTGGGAGGATATGATATCATTAATCATAATCATAAATAAGCTATCTATTTTTGTTTGAATGAACACTTACTACGGGGTTGTCAAAAAGCTGCCATAGGTCATTGTGTAAATGAGTTAGTGAATATGAGGTAGGGTTTGTGAGACGCCCAAACTGTTCTCGATTGTCAACATACATAAAGACATTCTAGAGAGCCGAAAAGATCATGATTTATAAAATTAAAAATTTTCCCGACTAATTATCTTAATGGATATCAAATTTACTTTCTTGGTTGTGGTAGATGTAAGTGAAAGATAAAAGAAGGCTTCCTCGAGGTAATCACTGGAAATTTCTGAGAGAGCCCATCGACTTAGAATGAATGTAGATCCGACCAATGGAACCTTCCAAAGCCCACTGGAATTTAAAATGTCAGTTTAAATAAATCTACCAGAGTAGAAATAGCTATTACAGCTCGTGTTAAAATAGTGACTCACCGTTTGCGACGTTCAACGATTTCAAAATAATCATCCGATCTTTTATAAGACCCGTCTTCAGCAATGTCGCCCCAGAAAGTTGACCAGAAAACGTTATAGCGAGTCATAAGAGGCGCAACTATGCTACGATTTGTTGAAACAAGATGCTTGAGCGTTCCTGGCCAGGTGAATTGGACTGTCCCTTCCACATAGAAGAGATTAGCACAGTCTGGTTTATCAAGACATAGGGCACTTTGAAAGGTGGAAAAGGTATTTATTAATCTTATTCGCATTTTAAATGGGAAAATGCATTTATTTAACTTACGCAGCATGTAGGAAGGCCTGATCTTGGTCTTTGTGATCGGTAGGGTTGAGTTCTGTAACCGATATGTACTCTGAACCGTGTTTATCAATGAATTCGTCAACAAGCTTTTGGTGCTCTGAAATCTATGAGTTTAAAAGAGAGAAAGTAAAGCTAAATGTAAAATTATAAACCTTTTAATCTCTGTTAGATTTTACTCACTGCGCAGAATGTTGTGAGATGAATTCTGTTCTTAGGATAGTCAAGCTTTGAAAGTCGATCGAAAAAGGGTTGAAGGAATGGTGTTGGTCTAACGATGAAGACACTGAGCATCACCACAGGGTACTCTGATGGCTTCAGTTTATCCAAATCGATTTTATCCTCGTCACATGCTTGACAGCTAGTTTCAGGAGACCAGGAACGTGTCAGATAGTTGCTCAAACTGTTTAGTCTTCTCTAAAAGAAAGATAACGACTGAGTGCGTCAAATTAGTCATGTCCACTATTATCAATCTACTGCAATGTAAGCAAATTCGAAATTTGTCCAAGGAAGATTCATATTCAAGTCCTGAACAAAATTATACATCTAAGTCACGTTCTAGCGCCACGTAAGCAGATTGGCCAGTGTCATCTCCTTTGGGATGCTCCACGTGCATAGGAAAGAAGGAGCGTGCCACGTTGCTTGTTTCGTGGCCCAACTTCAAGGTCATTTCCCAGCACACTAACGCACACGCTGACTTCCCGACTAAATATCATCATTTAAAGCGAGTTGGTCAGAGATGTTCGCAATTAGGCCAAAATGACTAACAAGCCTCAGATAGACTAGCTCTTGATTTATGCGCCCTAAATAGAAGTTAAGAAGAGCGTAAAAGTAGATTAGGACCAAGTGGCAACGCTCGGAGCTTCTTAGGATAAAATGGATTGTCTACAAGAGTCCCAAAAGTCATCTAACCCCCCCCCACCTCCATTCAGTAATGATAATGAAATGCTCCTCAAATAAGTTATTTACTTTGTATGCCAGCTCGGTTCTCATCATGAAATTAACTATCATTTTTGTCGCAAAATTATTGACCTACCTTGGCTTCATGATCATTATTCGCAACTGCGACTACTGGAACAGTATCTGTAAGGATATTTTGAAGATAACCACGATCGTGTTCGAATCGAATTTGAATGTTTGCTAAAGACAAAAAAGCAAAATATACAGGCTCGCTCCTCAATAGTAGAAAGGTATCAGCTTCCGATTGCTAACTCACATGCATTATTATAGATCTGTTGGAAAAAGGCCGAGGAGGTATCCATCAAAGTTGTTCCCTTTTTCTAAAATGATAAAAAAGAGGCATTAGATTTGTGTAGCTTCGAAATTGTACAGAACATTCTTAAACTCACCGCCCTTATTGCATCTAGGTATGATTGAACGTAGTCTTCACTGAGAACCGAAGGAGGTTTTGGAATGGCTTCATTGAGGAGTTTTGTTCGGGCAAAAAGACCGTGGAATATAGATTCCGGTTTCGGGTCCTCATCGCCTAGTTTTGCATCCTATTAATCAAGTAAACTTTCTAGGTCACACGTGTAAACTTTTAGCAGTTCAGAATATAGAGTTTCAAGGTATAAGTTATACCCCAGCAATATAGATATAATCGGCTTTGAGATTATCTGCGGCTTGGAGCAGATCATTGGGTTGGCCGAGAAGAACGGACAAGTGACTATCGAGAATGAGGACATATTCGCTGTCACTGTTCTCAACAGTCTTTTTAATCATAGCCAATTTGACCTCATTTTTAACTTCGTCTGTTGTGCGTCCGTATTCGGACAAATTAATTTCTGTGTAGTAGTAACCGAAGACATCAGCTGAGCGTTTGCAACGTTCGCTGGCATCATCTACAGATCCTCGCAAACCTATTACTTGGAGAGCTATAAAATAATAATATATTAATTGATATAATTGACTTAAGGTGAAGCTACTTTATGTGCTGCGGATAGAATTGAGCACATATATTATAAATATAAATTTACTCTCTAACTACCCATTTATCTGATTTTAAAATTTTAAGAGGAAAGACGAACCAGGGGCAGAGAGAACAGAGGTCACGCAAAATAGGCTAACCAATAAAATGGTGGATGGCATCATGACAAAGCTGGTATCGGGACTGCGCATGGAGTTTATATACGTGATTCTATGGCGGCAGCGCCTGCTGATTGGTCAATTCATCACCGGCACTGCCAATGTCATATGCCCATTGGTTGCTGTGTAGGAAAATGCCGCGTCATCAGTTAGCGTGGCCGTTGACCTCTGTCTATGCAGAAATTGTGGGCTTGCGAAGATTTTAAAAATTATCAGGTAAAATTTTAATTGACAATTCCTTTTGCAGATCGTTCGTTGTTTCTGCAATTAACTTCAAAATGACTGTCAATATTCATTGTTATTAATGGTTGGAAATTTGCGCTTAGGAATGGGCTGTTAATTATTTGATGGATGATAGAGATACTTTTTAATAGTTTGCTTAGTATTGAAATATAATATGATCATAAAATGATGTCTTAGTCTTTGTTCGTGAAAATATACTTCGAAACATACTGAATGTGAGTCGACATACTGAAACGATTTACACTTTTGCTTACTTGGGAGCCCTTCTTATGTGAAAAAAACATATGAAAAGGCATTTCAAAGACCCTTAAATGCCAAAAAATGTGTTCACGTATCAAAGATCAGAGGGGTTTAATCAAGAGGAATGGTGGAAATCTCAGTTCCCTTTTTTCTGATCTAGTTTCTGCTTCGAAATAGATTTGCAACGCATTCATTGTGAAGCAGCTAATGTGCTCGCCTGTGAAGTCAGAGGTCATGAGTTCGATGCCGATTAATGTACGCTGAGCGAGCAGAATGGTTACCCTAACTTGTTAAATCGCCTAATAGAGGTGAAGGTAGAACGTGGGTCTCTCCCCAGGGAGGCTCCATGATGATATCTCTCTACCTGAATCCAGTTTTTGAAAACGTCCTTCTAACTGGGTTTGGGCTAATTATATCTTTGTGACTAGTCGCAAAATACTAGTCTGTTGTTCCTGGACAGCAGGAATAAGAAAACACCGCCTTACCCCTTTTTGTGAAGCCACCAGGGTGGGACAGAAATTTACGACCGTATTTAAATGACTATTTATGAATTAAAGACTGGGGGATTGACACGGTTCCTTCATTATATTGTCCCTTCAAAAAATGGAATATTGTTAATTCTGAGAAGAGATCAAGGCCGCTTTATGATTGGCCCAAGTGTGAGTGATGGACGCGTAAACACGATTGATTCTGAACAAGATTCTATAGTTATGTGTTTCCAGAGGGAGGGATTTACAGGATTTACTGGGGTGTAACTAACTCTTTTCACCTCAAAAACATTAAGACACTCTTCTTATAGCAGAAAAGAAGGTATCCAGATAAATCTACCCCGAAGGGTTTTTGCTTTAGCATGGTTAACGAAAGTGATGGGTACATAGTGTATACCGTTTTTTATTCTTTAGCTACTGAATCAAATGTAATTATTCAATGAGTATCACTTGGCTTGCGAAATGTCCGGGTTTTAGCTGTCTTGGCAGTTGCATTCGGACGGCTTCTCGTTTGAATTTTATGGCAATTAATTTTGATCTTTGTTCTCATTTCTTGACTAGGAGCTCAGGTTGAAAATGTACCAGGTCTTGTAGAATCGTGAATACCAGCACATCAATTTTGAAGAGTTGGTGCACGCATTCCTTCCATGGAGTTTTAAGATCTCTGAATTGGTACATGCTATTTGTCAAATTTACTCAGAATTTAATGCTAGGCAGGGTATTTACAGCTGTCTCTAGAATTGCTAAGGCATTTCTCCTACTCTTCAGAGATGGATCCAAAGTATGCTCTAATTAGTTTGCTTGTGATTATGAGCTACTCTGGTGAGAGGACCCAGTAAGAGATGTACTGGGTTACTTCGCTTGTTTATAACTTTTCTGAACATGCACAAATTTTACGTTTTTCTCATTAAGATATCTGAACTTTCACTCCTATTCGTAAACATAAATAGTCACTTAGTTTGAATTTGCTCTTCATATCCACATGTCAGTAAAACTAAGACTGTCATTGATTCAGCCACACTGAGTGATTAATTCCTGGATTTACCAATCAGCCAAGAAGATGAACAAAAAAATATATTGTTTTCAATATATCGTTATAATTATAAAGTGCTTCCCATATAAATAGTCCATTTATGATTTGTATGGAGGATAATCTTATCATAGTACTCAATAAATGTGTTATTATTTCGAAATGATGATGACAAGGAATCAAGATCAGCAATATAAATTATGGGACTGGTGAGAGGTACTCAAGAGTTTTGGTTCGTTTTAGCAATACCTAACATCCAAAATAAAGAGAATTTTTTAGATTCTTTGCAAAATCATGTATTCACACATCTGCTAGTTAAGATGTACTATTTGGATAAGAAATAGTTGTATTGACCAGTCTCGAAATACCTGATAGCCTCTGATTGGTAGTCGTATCACTCAATTTTAATTTCATTATAACTTAATTTTGTGCTACGCTCATCCAAGCTCATCAGCGTAGTTACTCGGTATCTATATTTATTTATTTCAAATGGCAGACGTTATGATAGGTATCATTAGCCCTTTAGTTGACTTCAGGCTTCACAGAAAGGAAGATGAACATCAAAGTGGCAAAACGTCGAGAGGGGGACAGAATAATGATTCACAGACGTAAAAGAGACAGACAGACACAAAGGTAGAAAAAGGTGAGGTGAGTACTGTGAAATTATTCGAATATGAATATATGTATGATGTAGTACTGTGAAAGTGGTCGAACATGTCATACAGTGGGGTCATGGTAGTTTGAAGTCAGAAGTCAATTGCCGGTTAATAGACTTTTTGCCGTATGAG